GGCCCCTGCCCCGGCCCTCTCCCCGGGCCCGTGCGCTGCCCCTCCGGACCCGGGACGCGCTGCGCGAGCCCGCCCGCCTGCGTTTTTGTTTGTTTCCAAGTGGCTGGCTCGAGGAGTCTCTGCGACTCGCCCGTGTCCCCCGATGGCACTTTGTTGGCTCCCCTCCCAACCATTTTTTTTTTTACTTTCTGCCTCCTTTTCCGAAAGTGCCGTGAGTGCTCCCTTCGGGGCGTGGGTGTTCACACTCCTCGAGTGAAATGAAGTCGGACAAGGATGCGAGCTAGGTGCGATGAAATACCACGGAGGCTCCCGAGGCATCCTTTTCCTTAAGTGGGGCCGGGGCGGGGTGGAGCGGGGAGAGGGAGCGAGAGATGGAGCTCAGGCTGCAGCCTCCTGAGCGCTGCCGCGTGCTCGTCATGGGTTCCCTGTCTGCCCCCCAGCCCAATCCCCGCGTAACTGGGCCCCCGGGACCCAGTGGAGCTGGGCCGAACTGCAGCAGCGACCCCAGCGCGCAGAGGGCTCGCTCCACAGGTTTGAGGCACTTAGGACTGCTGCAGATGTGCCTGGTTTGTGCGCACCCGCTGAGCCCCTGCCCCCACCCATCTTTTGGAAACAGAAGTCATCGGCTCTGGCATCCTGGGTTAAGCCAGCTGCGGCTTCACCTGGTCCCCTGCAGCCTGTGTATGGCTGACGCACCCAGGCTAGCTCTGGGCTCACAACTCCCCAGACAAGTGTGCCCACCACCTTCAGCATTGTGGGCCTTTGCCACGCCCCCCTCCCCATGCCCAAGTCCCAGCAGGGTCCCTGACACAATTAGGCAGAGTTCATCGCTCCACCCACGCTTCGCCTCCGGCTTTACACGGATGGTAAGTCGCTGCAAAAGCTGAGGTGTCTGCACATGGCCTGGTTTTCCTTAAGCCTGTCAGCGGCCTTGGAGCCTCCCTCCTCCTTGAAAGCCCTGCTCCGATGCCGAGCTGGCCACGCTTTCCTGCTATCTCCCTGGCTTCTCAGCCCCTTGAGTGATCCCTTCTTACCTCCCTGACCTCTGCATGTGGAAAGCCCCAGGGGACGCATCCTTGGGCCCGTTCTCTTTTTTTATATGCCATATCCCCGTTTTTTTGGCTTTGGGTATCATATACAGGTTAATGTACCTCAAATTTCTATCTCCAGCCCAGACCTGACCCCTGAAGAACAAATTTACATGTAACTGCCTCCTCAGCATCTCTTGGATGCCCCTGGCAGTTTAAACCCGACATGTCTGGAGCCCCTTCTCACACAACTACCAAGATGCCCTTGACCGCCATGTTGTGAGGAAGCCCAAGCCACAGGGACACCCTGCGCGTGAATAAAACGTCCTGCAGGTGAGTCCAGCGCCCAAGCTTCAGGTCTTCCAGCTGAAGCCCTGCACATAAGTAGAGTGAGCCACACTGTCCCCTCTGTGCCTTGCCTGAGTTCCCGACTCGTAGAAACTATGAAAGATAGTAAACGATCAATGTTTTAAGCCACTGTGTTTTATGGTAATTTGTTCTAGAGCAGCGGTTCTCAACCTTCCTAATGCCGTGACCCCTTAATACAGTTCCTCATGTTGTGGTGACCCCCAACCATAAAATGATTTTCGT